TTAACACTTACACATATGTGACATTTTAAAAGAAAATGTATCTTTCCTGTGCTCCTCACTGCACAACAGGGTGACATACTGGTTTCGGAGACCTTCCCGTGACCCCGGTGAAGCAGATTTATCGTCCAGAAAAATTGCGTGTAGGTCAACTGTCCTTGAGCGTGACAGTATTTTATGCACTGTACATCACTCTGAGTTAGCATCAACAAAATGCTTCCCTCCATCCCAAAGGGGATTATTTATTTTTCATGTTAAGTGATGCAAATTGTGTACATATTTCCCCTGTTGTTGTATAATGGCTTTAACTTTAATTCACTTCTTCCTTCAACATCTCTTCCTCCTCCATCTTTCTCGTTGTCTTTTGTTTGGCCCTCATTAAAATCTCACACCTATGAGCGTAAGTGCCTCTTGCTGTCTAACTCTGGGGAGTCACCTCTTGACATTGGTGAAGTAAGCCTCTTACCAAAATCTTGTGGACTACATGTGCAGTGATGGAGGGCCTTATCGGACTTATATAAATCCTGTGAGTACAGGTAACTGCTGCATTTCACTAATCTGAGCCTAAAGGAAGTGGAGTTGCTCTAAACGTACAAACATTGTAGGTCATTGTGTAGGAAGGTTTAGTAATCTGATTGGCGCGGTCATGCTACACTTCACACTAATAATTAAACAGTTTAACAGAATTTTTAAGGTCAATACCTGATGAAATTTTGTCAGTGGTCACTATGTAGATAGAATTTGCATTTGTACCAAGATATTTTTTTGCTATTGGTTAAAAATCTGTGGTCCAAGATGGCACTCGTCTAGAATGAGATATGGACCATATAGAACTTGTTGACCATTATAAGTACAATATATAGTTATGTAGTGCACTCTAGATAGCCATACTTGTCAGTGTGAGAAAAAAAAAACTCCCAAAATAACCAGCGCAAGTGCAAAAGGATGTAATTTCAGTTTCATGTGGCATGCCCTTGTGGTTGTACATATGTGATTTACCTGCCATTTCATTTACATCTACGAAACACCATGAATTTCAGAAATTCCACTGTTTTTCTCACTTTTATGCATTAATGTTTAATTTGGATTATATAACAAGAGCTTGGGCCCACTACAAGCAAGCTACCAAGACTACAGCTGAGGAGAAGAGAAAGAGAAATGATCATTTCCATGTTGAAGGATGTTTTTATTCTCTTTCACTCAGCTGGCTCACAAGACGATGACATTTTGTGAGCTCATACACTTGACATCAAATAATCAAATGAGAATATTAAATAAAATTTAAAATTAGGTAAATAAAACCTCAGATGTGCTAAGTTGTGTCTTACTATTTTATAAGAAATTAAGGCAAATGCAGAGGTGTGTGAAAAAAAATTATACCATCCTTATTATTTCCATGTGAATGAAGAGGGTAAGTAGCTGCCAGGTGCTGCTAATCAAATGTTCCTTATTAACTGATCTTCAGCAAATGTGAGCACCTCTGTAAAAGCGGAAGGTTTGGCACGGGGGTATTTGGAGCATTCAGGTGTGTTTTAAATCAGTGCCAGGGAAGAAAGACATCAGCAATAATCTTAGAGAAAGAAATTGTTTCTAATCATCTACAGAGACTGCAGCGACTATAAGACCTTTTTCAAACCATTTGACGTCCATCATTCTGCAGAGAGATGGATTATTCACAAGTGGAAAACATTCATGACAGCTGCCAATTCCCTAAGAGTGGAAATCTTAGGAATATTCACCCCAACGTCAGAACATGCAATGTTCAGCCTCGGTTAACATGTTAGATGTTAAAGTTTATGACATGACAAGTATGGCTTGTTTTGAATAGTTGCCAGGAGAAAGCCTCTCCCCTCTAAAAAGATCATGTTGCATCTGAACCAACCACAAGACTTGTGGAAAAATGTCCTTTAGACAGATGACACCAAAGCGGACACATTTGTGCTGATATGCTGTTTTTGGTATCGGCCAAATGCGATGCTGTGCATTATGGCCAAACACCTCATACCATCTGTGAAGCACTGAGGTGGAGGGGTGATGAGTTGGCTTGTTTTGCAGCCAACCAATGACTGTTGTATACCAAATTGTTCTAGAGTCAAATGTGAGGCCATATGTCAACAGGTCATGAAACAGGACAATAATCCCAAGCACAGCTGCAAAAGTCCAGTTCAAACCTCACTGCATTTGAAATGGTGCTGGAGGAACTTAAGAGAACCATGTCAAGCACCAATTAAGTTAAGAATAAAAGCACATCAGCCCAGAAAGTTCCTCATTCATGAGATGGCTTCCCAAGTCCTGCATCTTTGCATCTGAACATATTATTTATATAGAGCTCATTAATTCAAAGAAAATGTTTTTCTTTTCTTTGCAGTTTTATTTTTTAATTCATCAATGACTTTTTGTGGTATTGTGTAGTAGTTTTGTAAAGTTTTGTAATGTGTTTACAGTACGAAGTTGTGGTAAAAGTATGTGTTGCCTTGAGGCATTTATTGAATTTCAAAGCATAGTAATATTTTTTTGTAAGAAAAAGTAGGTATTATGCTATAAGGTTATTGGTAGAGTGGTGCAAACATTTCCCATCTCCCACGCATCCTCTTCAAACCACGATTATGCAGAACCACTTGAAAGTCTTAGGTGATGGAGCCGACACACTGAGAATACAAAAATATAGTGACTCTTGAAGTAGTTTCAAGCAAAATGCTAAAACACTGTATATAGAGGGGTTTTTTTGTCAGCTGTGTGTGTGTGTGTGTGTTGTGTGAGTCAAAATCAGGCTGTTGGCGGACCCTCACTGTGTCGGTGATGGTAATAGTTTGCCAGAGCCTTGGGGGAGCTTCTCAGCAGGTGATGGTGTGTGTATGTGTACGTGATGTTGTCTGTGTGTTTGTGTGCACATATCAGCAGGAAAGGGTAGAGCAGGCCCCACAGTGCATGTCTCAACAGCCAAGTCATCAACCCTTTTAATCCAGCCCAGCAGGGATGTGTTTGTGTTTTTGACGGTGCTTGTGTGTGTATGTTTGAAGAACTTCGTGAGAAGTGCTGCCATGAAGTTGTTTATATTCTACTCTGAGGAGTGGCAGAAAGCTGTCCAAAACATTTTCAGCTTGATGTGATTTTTTTTTAAATACAATATTGAACTTTTTCTCTTTTATCCGTGTCATGTTGATTTTGTTTGAAAGTATTGCCTAATATGTCTAATGTCCAATCAGATCTCTCTCTATCCCCGCCTCACCCATCCTATTCTCTCTTCTCTCCCCCTGCAGGACGAATGTCATAGGATGAACACTGCTGGTGGGGTGTGTCTGTCTGTGCTGTCCTCTCTCCTGGCTGTGGCTGGGGCCCTGGCTGCCGTGTCTGCCCTCGCTCTAGCTCCTCTCTCTGCCCTGGCTGAGGCTGCCTATGGGGTTGCCGATAGCGTCCCCAGCACCGGGGCAGAGGGGGCCCCCTCGCCTTTGTCCTCACCATGCTCCAGCCTTGTAGCTGGGGTGCTCTATGGCTCTTTCTCCCTAAGGGAGCTTTTTCCCTCCAGGGCACCGGGTTGTTCCTGGTCTCTGGAAAACCCGGATCCCACCAAGTACTCCCTCTATCTCCGCTTTACGCGCCACCCTGTCATTTGTAGGACACACTCCCCCATGCTCCTTTCCCTTGACCACCACCTAGCCAATCAAAGCTGTCCCCTGCACTTACAGACGGCCACAGCCAGAGATCAGGAAGTCATCGATCTTTGTGGCAGCCGCACCAGTTCAGACGGACCTTACTCCTTTCTGCAGTTCGATAAGAACTTTGTCCAACTGTGTCTAACGAGACATCCAGCTGCAGATGAGCCTCAGGTATCTAAGGAATTGCTGGAGCTGAGACTGGTAGAGGTGTTACTCATTAACAACGAAAACTCCAGTCAGTTCACCTGCGGTGTGCTCTGCCGATGGTTCGAGGAGTGTTTGCGCACTGATCACAATGGAGACCAGGAGGTTTCTGATGGGGATGGTTGTGGGATGACCCAGACAGGCTGTATTTGTCCAAATCACAACATTATGGCACCACCTGTTCCTCTGCTCCCAGAGACACCGCACACTTTCAGTAACGGGTCACTGGCTCCTGATGACTGTTGCGTCACCGAACTGCATTCCAATGATGCAATCGCCATAGCGCCCCGAGATGTCCGACAAGGTAGGATTCCTTTCACTGTAATTTATGAGGTGGTGTTTCAGTGCTGTTCTTGCTATTTTCAGTGTATCACACATGAGCACACATCCCTATGTGAAAATTACTTTGGCCTTGTAACACAACGTGCAATAAAGCAAATCTCCAAGGTGCAAGATGACCCAAACACTCTGAGTTGTTTATTTTATGTATCCACTCGGAGTAACAAATGGAAAAGAAAAGTTTGTTATTGTGCCTTTTTGTAGCACCTCGAGAAGAGGTGGAGGTGGCGAGAGGGGGGTCACATTGGCTGCTTGACAGATAATTTATGATTTGAATTTTGTCTTTTGCATGTTGGCCTTTAATTAAAAAAAATGAAGCAGTTCAAAGGAGGCCCTTTAAACCTTCCATCAAAAGATTTGTAATGCCTGACAGAAATTCAGCCTTTTGATCTATATTTTAGAGATTCCCCCATGTGGCCAAGAGGTGGGGCTCCCATGACTTCAGTTTACATGCTGAACGGTATTGTGTGTGTGTGTATCCATCCACTGAGAATGTTAGGACTAGATCAGATTTGACACCAATGGACAATATGCAAACCGTCTTTTCTACATCAATGAATTAGACACAAAGAAGACAATCCTTTCACGCACAATACACATGGAAATTTGTTTGCGTGTGTGCAGCCGCATAATTCTGTTTTCTGCCTGCAAGCAACACAGATAAGTGCTTAATCCAAACAGAAATGGACAAGCACTTGCGCTAAGGCTTTCTAATCATTTCACTTCATCACTGCCACCAGAGTATTTAGTCTAATGTAATTCAATTAGAACAATATAGAGGTGCGTGTGATATACAGAGATGGAGTTTGCTTTTCAGGTCACATAATTGCATAATAATTTCCCTTTGGGTGCCTCATAAGCATGTTTGCAGTCTGCATAGTAATAATTAGAACCAGGTTATTGTTAGGCTTGGCCTTCCTTTAACTAACACACACACTAAGAGCTCTAGGGAGATTTTTACCTTGCTAGTGGGAAGGTTATCGTCTTCCGGATTTCGTGAGCAGGGGAGCATTTATCATCTTATAACCTCATAGAGGAAGAAAAGGGTATACTTAAGGGAGATTAAGGAAGTGAGTCATTTACCATTTTGTCTTGACCTGATGTACTATTGCTTGAGAAAGTGCCATGTAACTGTTTTGGCCAAAAGTCAAACTGATAATGCAACTCTGCTAATTAATTCTAAGGGTTGCAGTGATATCCAGCTTATGCCACTGTCCTGAAAGACCTCTTAGCTTTATTTTTGTGTCACTTCCATGAGACAGTTATTTGCTGACATATTGATTAGCAGTCACATGTATGGTTTGGAGAAGGTGGCGCTACCAAAACATCAGGAGGCAAAGCTGGAGATGCTAAGAATTTTAGTGGCAGTGACCATAAGAGAGAGCATTAGAAATGATTGTATCAGAAGGGCAGCCCAGGTTTTGAGTTAAAGTTAGAGAGATAAGGCTACCTTTAATCTCCAAGGATAGGAGATATGCACAGGAAGGATAGTGGATATATTGGGCAAAGAATGTTGAATATGGCGAGCCAGGCAGGCGGACAAGAGAAAGACCACAGAGAAGATTTATGGATGTATTAAAGGAGGGCATTAAGAGGGTTGGCGTGAGAGAGGAAAATGTTGGCAATAGGGTTTAGATGGGTGCACGCAATCCGCTGTGGGGACCCCTAAAGGGAGCAGAGAAGAAGAAAAAAAAGATTAGTTAGCAACCAGCCACTGTCCACCCCTGCAGGATGTTCTCAACCCCTGGTCTTCTGTAGAAAACATTTTTTTCTCACCAGTTCCCTTTTGCAGTAATTATCCATAAATGTTAAAATTATTGTAAATCCAGGACTGTGCTGTCAGAGTAACAGCCATAATCTTGCCTTTACTCTGCTCCTGTCCCCTTTCTGTCAACTGAAAGATAAACAATTTTGCCCCCGCTGAGTCAGGGACACTCAAAAACAAAGCTTAAATGCCAGTTTTCTCCTTCGTGCCGGTCCACTTTTTGCCTTAATGCATGGTTGCCAATTTTCAACTGTCAGCTGTGGTGAGACTCAGACACTCATTTTAAATTTAAGACGAAAACAAATAGTAAAAAATAGAACAAAGGAAATGAACTTCGACTTTAGTAAACAGGGCCTGAGTCTTAGAACGACATCTGTATAAAAGGAAAATGAAACTGAAATGAAAAAAGTAAAACTGCGCAAACTACTCTGTAACAGCTCATCTGTCTCAGTTGCAGAAAGACAGACTCATTGATAATAAAAATAATAATTAATGACCTAACCCCTCATCGAGATGCATCTATTTACCATGTTGCTTCCATAGTTATGCAACAAATACAAATACAGAATTAGGCTACAATCAGTGGTGAGTATTAAAACAACTGTTAAAAGTTAAAGGTCAGTTGACTGAACTGAAACACATAAAAACTGTATTTTTTTAGTGATGGGCGAGTGTCGGTGCTAAAAGAAAAAAGAAAAAAGAGGTTTTGGCACAAGATTTAGGAAATTAGAGGAAAAGCATATAAAAACAAGCACATCAAAGAAGAAGATGAAATAAGGCAGGGTTGCCAACTCGCGATGAGCAGCCATGATGGGAACTAAATATACTGCAGATCTTTCTTCATAAATTTTACATAAGCAATCCACTGGACATCTAATTAGCTGAACTCACAACTAAAACTTCTGAAGGTAACAATTCTATAGATCTTTTCCTTGAAATGGGCAAACAGATCTAGTTACACCGAGTTACACAATCAGTATCTTTAGATTTTAGATCTATAGATGAGATAAATACATGATCAACAGAACTTTCTGATTCGTCGTGAATACAAGTTAAACTCAGCAGGGCTCAGTCGAGTTTCTTGTTTTAACAAAAGTAATTTATCAACACAGTTTACATTGTTATACCATTTGAATCTGAAATCTACTTTTCTTGCTTTTTACAAGATGACCTTAACCAGTACAGTTGTCACGGTCGCAGTGGCAGACCGTGTGGAGAGTGTGAGGAGGACTCAGGTGCAGACACAGGCGTGGACACGAAACTGAGGTCGAACGAAAAGCGAGCCTTTATTGTGGCTGAAGACAAGGAGTGCAAACAAGGCAGAAGCGTAGTGACACTACGCTTCTGAAAACTAAACTATAACTAAACTGGGAAAGTGATACCAGGATAACCTATGAAGACACAGGAAACCATAACTATGAATACAAAAGACTGGCTGTGACAACATGGAGAGTGGGAACACAGGCGACGCGACACAGACTGTATGAAACACAGAGACTAAATACACATGAGGGATGATCAGGGGAAGTGGCCACACATGGGAGCACAGCTGACACACATGAACCTAACGACAGGACAGGAGAAGTGAAACTGAATACACTGACATTGAATACAGACTTTCAAAGTAAAACAGGAAACATGGAGATTAGACATGACATGAACTAAACATAACCACGCAGACATGACGCATGAACCAGGGAGACTCAGTACAGGGGGAGATGACATAAACAACTAAGGAACAAGGACTAAACAGCAATCTCAAAATAAACTAGATGAGCTAAACTAGGGCACAAATGAATACCAAAGATACATAAAACTCAAACATTGGGTCGCTCGACCCAGGACCATGACAACAGTAATCAAATTGTACTAAATATGACCTAGGGTACCTACGAGGGAACGCTGTTAATCAGTGCCAGAGGCATCAAATGATGAGTATTTACTTGTGAAAAAAGCCTGTTTGCTCTTCATCCATGGAGTTGGCAAAGAAAGAATTTATCTATGTAGTTTATTAGAGTAACACTTTGCTCAACCAGGTCTTTAATACCGCATATGTGTATTTTTCTATAGGCGTCTCAGTGGATGCTGGCAGGGAGAGATGGTACTTTGTAGACAAACAGTTCATAGTAAATTCAACAAACTTGTTTGCAGAATATGAAATTGAATCTCCTCTACTGACACTGAGTCTTCGAGGAGCAAACGAAACAATAATAATCACTCAACTCTCAAATCTAACTTTCTCAAATTTGCTGCGAATGTCTCAAATGGCAGAGAGTATGGAAAGTAATGCAAACAGATTGCTTTTCCAGTTTAATAAACATGTAACCTTGGGCTTTTCCTCAACTGCTGTAAATAGTTTGCAGTTTTAGTTACTCTAAAAAGCTGGACTTGCACATGACCTGCAATGTACGTATTCCTAAAACAGCAAAAAAAAAAAAAGCCATAGTGCAACACGTTTATGCTTTAAAAAGCTTTTCTCTATATTTTTGTAACTCTTGTGCTTATGATGTGATTCTTAGAGCTAACTGTTATACCACGACCACGAGCAAGTGAAGGCACATTTCAGTTCCTTAGATGTTTTGCGGCTGAATGTCAGGTCTGCTTGATAAAACTCAGATCCCCGGCTTTTCCGATCCATCAGCAGCTGTCTCCACCCACACCTGATTTCTTCCACATAACTATTTTGTATTAAGCGGAAAAGAAAAAAAGGGAAAAAGAAAAAGGAAATACAAAGTGCTATCATACATGTGCACACATTAGCATGTGGCTAATATTTACAGTTGAAAGTTTGTGACGATGCTTATTTCCACGTGCTATTTATCTCATGGTCTTTACATGTTATGCTTTTTCCCCTTCTTTCTTTTCTAAAACCGAAAATATTATAATATTTATAATATTATAATATATATAGTATAACGTGTGCTTGAAGGCTTTGCTCCTGCAAATACACAGGATCCTTTAGATTTCTATTTGGAATGAAGGGCAGCCTTGCTTGAGTGAATTATTTGGCCTTTTTAAAGATGAAGAGAGAAAAACCATTTCTTAATCTAGCCAATTCTTAATGGTGAACTACACTTATATATCTACACAGCAATGACAGAATACATTAAATCTTCAAAGGAACTCTCAAATAAGAGACCCCAATTGCATGTCTTTAGTGCATGTGGGTTCAATTAGTGCATTGCTGCTATTAAATTGCT